CAACCAACCAATGTGTAACTTTGAGGCCAGTCAAAGGGTTGAGTTAAGACATGATACTGTGATGTAATGAAACAGTAGCCTTATTTTAGCCTTGGAGATTTTCATCTTTAGGAATTCCTAATTACTTCATAAACTACCGAATTGGGACAATAGGGTGTCAGATAAATGGGAGTATTCTGTATTAATAAACTCATTTTACAGATGGGGGAAATTGAGATATAGAGAATAACTGACCTGCCCAGAGTCACACAGTGATGATAGAACTGGGTCTAGAACCAAGAGGCCTGATTCCCTATCCCCAGCCTGCAGTAAACACTAAACCGCATATGGATAGGAAGTGACTCTTTTGGAATAGGAGCACTGAATATTAAACAAACCCCTATAATTTCTCTTGCCACTGCCTACAGCCAGCAGTTCATTCTCCAGTGACTGTTTTGAATTATTTTTAGGCACTTGTTTGAGGATAACTGCAGCAAATGTTTCTTAGGGGATCATCAAGTGCTTTCCAGGTCCTTGTAGCCAGTTTAAAGTTGGCTTCTTTACTGTCTCTTTGATGCAATGATTTAGTCACAGTCTGGCTTGTTTACATGTTAACGTTATAAGAGTAAAACTTTTGTAGAAAAGAAACTCTTCAGAGGAATTCTTACTGTGCTTCACTGGTGTGTATCTATCACTCATTTGTGCATTTACATTCTCCTTTTTATTTTGAACTAAATTTTTACTAGTGTCCATTAGCACTCAGTCAGTATTTTGAATCTAGTCTTATTCACTTAATGCCATGTAACTCTGTATTCCCAATTTTAACTATCTTCTCAGAAGCAAAATTAGTGTCTAGTGCTAATTAGGAATCTTTTATGGGGAATCGTGAGCAACAGGATCTTGTTTATGCATGACTGTGATCTGTCTTCCCAGCTCAGCCTACAGTGTTGCTGTCACCCCAAAACCCCGAAATTACAGCAGGGGGAGAGAAAACCTTTTCCTGTGATGTTCATCAATTTTACCCTCAAGAAATTGACATCTCCTGGCTGGTTAGGAAGTATGGCAGTAAACACGAGAGGCCTTTAACGCAGGATATCTGCACGGGAGTCCCACTGGCTCATGATAAAAAGGGCATGTTCACCGTGCTGAGTCGGGTGACCCGAGAGGTGTCTGAAGAGGATGATGGATCCTTGTACATCTGTGAAGTCCGACATGAATCTCTGGAAAAGCCGCTGAGAGGAAATACAACCATATTTGTCACGAGTAAGTGGCCCAAGAACAGACTCTGAATAGCTCTGGTTGAAAAATTTTTTAATGGCACAATTTTCTGTCAGAAAATGTAATTTTGCTGAAATCAAACTGTTTCATGGAAACGTGTTGGTTTGATGACATTTTTCAACAGGAAAAAGTTTAAATGAATCATTTTTTACTTTCTTTTTAATTTTGATAAAGTCAAAATTAATCATTTTTACCTTATCATTTTGATTATTTTTTGTTTAAATTTTTATATTATACTAAAATATTAGTTTTAATATATTGTATGTAGAGATTTAACATGATAGAATATATGCCATAGTTAATATTTTATATAACAATGTTTTGACATTACTGAAATTAAATGTTTCAATTGTTCCACATCAAACTTTTTCTGAATTTTCATTTTGTAGAAAATTTCAAACTTTCAGCTCTTCAGTTTGATTTGGAACAAAAACAAATTAAAAAATGTTGGGATTTCCCAGCAAATGGAAATTCTACTCTCTACGCATTGGGGAAATCTTAAGAATGATTGATAGGAGAAATAATTTTAATAGGGGCAAAATCCTGTCTTAACTCCAGAAAGTCCTGAGTGCAGTAAAACCAGTGCCCAGGGGCTCAGGACTCCAGGGGCCTGCACAGGGGTTCTGCACTCTCTTCAGGCTGTGCTCTGTGTTGGCTCAATGCAACGGCATGCAGAAGAGATTGAGAGTAGGGTGGGGCTGTTGCAGATCCACCATCCACAGAAGAGGAATGCAGCATTCCCAGGGACTTTTGCAGCCTTGAGGCTTCAATAGCTGCTCCTGAGCTCTGCAGCCTGTATGGGAGATCTGCTTCTTCACCCTTGCAGTTCCCACAAATCTCCCCAGCTCACAGCCCCAGTTACTCAGGCTGTAGTTGAGGGCAGGAAAGCAAAAAACACTCAAATATCCTGTATATCTGCCTTCTCTAGCAAACTCATATTACCCCAATCCCTGCTTCATACCTTCATAGACATAGCCCTGTACCCAAAATAGCAAAGTTACTCCATGGCTCAGTTCACTCCTCTTTCAAGTGTGTTCTTCGTGCACATGTCATCCAAAAGGCCTAGAATCCCTTGTCTTGCCTACACAGAACTGATTATAGCTTGACCTCTTTCTGACTCAATTTACCATCATGTAAAAGGGGGATAATAACAATAATACAGAAGTGCTGCACTTTCCAGGGCTGATGGGAAGCTTCATTAATTATTTGTAAAATGCTTTGAGATCCTTGGGTGGAATCTGATTATTTTAAATAGTTTCTAATGAATACATTTGTTTTCAGCCCCAAAGCAGTATCATCGGGATATTGGGTTCATTGTTGGAGTGGCTGCTGCTTGTATTGTGATAACTGGAGCGTGTAGTATATTTTTGACCATATTCTATCGGGAACAACTTATGAAAGGTAAATTTCTTTTTAAACATTCGCACCCTTCAGCATCCTTCTAGCTGTGGTAGGCCTCCCATTTATATACTAATGGTAATAATAATTAATAACTAATAATAACTTAGCTAAGGGTTTGCTCTGCAAACAGTATGCTTCTTAGCTTATGTTAAAGGAAAGTTGGCCTAAAAATCAGAGCTAAAGCTTTCTCTAACCCAGAGTGTTAACAAATATCCTATTTGATTCTGAACCCCAAAGAAGGGAGTTGCTAACTTCTGTACTTCTATCTGATTTCCTTATGGATATTTTATATGTTAGGACACCTCAATCAGCTGTATGGCCCATGAGCAGACTCCTTGGGAAGCACCAATAGTAGGTAATCTAGCTTATTTGCCTGCATCATGGCAGGATTGATTTCATTTCCCTAAACCATCTGTCATGGACTAATCCAGTCATTAGAGGGATGCAAGAGGGCTTTAGCAACTATGGGAGACCAACCATAGAGGTTGGGGCACTATATTTAGCAGTCATAGCACTTGTCAGTACTGGAGGGATCACAAGGGTTTAATCAGATAGAAAAGATGGGTTTCAGCAACTGAAAGGGGAGTGGGCCCCCTCAACTCATCTTATTGCAAAGGGCCATTGCGTGGAGGAGGTCCTGGTTGTGTCTGAGCAAGAGTGATGACAAAGCAGGGCTCCCATAAAAGGTCCAGGGCTCTCTGCAGCTACACTTTGGGTCTTTTCTAGGCATGTACCCAGTGTGCTGATTTCACTCTGGCCAGTATTTCATATTTCACTCCTACTGTGAATATCACTACTTTATATATCCAGGAACCCCCAGTTCTGCTATGCCAGCATCTCACAGAGACTTCTAAATCCCAAATTTATCTTCTTTTCAGTGCCACCTCAGGTTTCCTTGATTAACAAACCAGATGTGATCCCGATTAATGAGAAGCTGAAGCTGATGTGCAACATAAATGGGTTTAGACCAAAAGCGATTAGTGTGAAATGGTACCGGAGAACCCCCCAAATGCCATCAAGTGAAGCTCCTGAAGAAGCCTCTTTTCTTCTGGGTCCGAGAGACGATATTACAGACAAGGCAAGGCAGCCTTTGGAAACCAATGGCAAGTTCTTCAGTGTTCCATCCTGTCTGACCTACACACCCACCATCCGGGATGATGGGGCAGTGTTTGAATGCAGCGTTGAGCACAGCGCACTGAAAAGCGCCATATGGATGAGCACCACGCTGAGTGTCACAGGTAAAAGCTCCCCCTCCCCTCCTGCCAGCAGATCTTCTTTTCTTACTGACTCCTTGCCAAAAACTGAACAGTAACTTTTTACAAGATTTCCCTAAACACACACGCTCTCTCTGTCTCCCTTTCAGCTCGGCCGACAAGTCTCTACATCACTAGCTGGCCTCAGGCTCCCATGGTAGGAGAGAAGCTCATTCTGAGCTGCGTAGTAGAGAAATTTTACCCAAAGGATATCACTTTGACTTGGTTTAGAAATGGACAACTGGTTAGCGATGTGACACAGTTTGGACCTTTCCCTTGTGAAATTGACTATTTCAGTGTCTGGAGCCAGACTGAGTTTATACTGACCAATGAGGAGGAAGGGGCAGTTTATATCTGTCAGATAAAACACAGCAGCTTTGGAAATATAGAAGAACTCTTCTATGAAGTTAACTTGCAAGGTAAGATACATGCCGTGAGTCAACTGCTGCAAATGATGCTAATAGTGGAGCTGCCTTTGAGAGGTTCAGCAGATTTGCACCACGAGGTGCAAAAGATTCAGAGCTTGGGAGGCAGGGTGGTCTATTGGCCCGTGCACAGGGCATAGTGCTAGGAAGTCCTGAGATCTAATCCTGGCTCTACCGCTGACTTGGAATGTGGCTTGGGGCAAGTCAGTCCTTGTTTTTCATCTATAAGATGTAGAGGATAGGGGTATTGTGACCATCAACTAAATATAAAGTGCTATGGAAGTATTAAGTATTTCTAGGTGAGAATGGTTTGATCACCTGGAATCTGAATGGGGCCTTTGGGTTAAAGACTGTAGAGGAAGCTAAGGAGCAGCTGAGTTCCTCCTAACCCAGCCTATTAGAGTGATTGCTGAATGGGCCTTCTGCTTTCTTGTCTTAGCCCCATTTCACACACTGATCTTCAGCGGTGGCGCAAAGTGGAACCGGCTCAGGTAATGCCCAAAATCTGGGATGAGGAAGAAGAGGTATGGTAGCTGTGGCTGAGTAGAGAGAGACCTTATTCAGCACAGTGCACTGTGTGTCAGTATGGGAGAGCCTGGGGATGTGATGGGGGCCTGGAGTACTGCGAGAGCCCCATGAGCTATAGGTACAGGGGAAAGAGCGTGACACACACAATGTTGGGCCAAGGTCAAAGCTACAGTCACACCCAAAAATTTCCATTGCCAGACCCGCAACATGCCATCAACAATCAAACCAGGCACAATTTGCAGCAGCTCTCACTGTGTGAGCTGTAGGCTCCCGCATTCTCATTATGACTGTCATGAATAATTCACCACTCCCATTGGTACAGTTATGCATCTTGGCCATGTGCCCTCTTCTTGACATTGGAGGTGACTCATCTAACCATCTGTCCTGCTGTGTGTTCTTTCAATTTGAACAGGGACACCCCCTGAAGTTCTCTGGATCACCACAGACCCCTCCATTCCTGTGGCGGGAGAGGAGCTGAGGCTGAACTGCAGGATCAATAACTTCTCCCCTAATGTGATCACTGTGAACTGGTTCCGAGATGGGCAGCTCCTGCAAGCGGGAGTCTGCCATTCAGTCTCCATAATGGGGGCCAATGGTTTGCACTCCATCTGGAGCGTTTTGAGAGTCACGCCCGGAAGGGAAGAGGAAGGAGCAGTGTTTACGTGTCGGGTGACACATGCTGCTTTAAGGGACTCTGTAGAAAGATCATACACTCTGCAGCTGCCTGGTATGTCCTGTACAGCATGTTTGATTGGATAGTTCATACAGTGCCTGAACAACGGAGATTAGTTTAAAGCGAAGTGTGGTCAAGGGGCCAAATGAGGCCTGTAGAGTGCCAGAGGGAGGCCTAAAGTGATGGTGTGAGCCGATGGCTGTGAGCTAGAAACTTAATGAGACCTGATCTCAGCTCTGACACAGACTCCCAGCATGCTTAATCTCTCCGCCTAAGAGCCCCCATCTGTCCAAACACTCACTTACGTAAGGGTGGAGCGAGGAGTGCTGTGTTTGTAAAGCGCCTCATTTCTAATTATTGTTATGTTATTAGAATGCAGCCTGTGGCTGCTCTCGGCATGTAAGCGTAGGACGGGAACAAAGCTGATCAACTGCAGGTTTTTAGGGCTGGTGAAATGTTATGAAACACAGAGCCTCGGAGTAGGCTCTAAGGTCATCCTAGCCCCTCCTGCATCCCAACAGCTAGAGGTGAGCACTGCACCAGGGGATGCTTGGACTTTGCTGGTGCGTTCCCCTCCCCCATCCCTCCTCCTCTTTTGTATTGGTCTCTGGCTACCAGATTTAGTCCTTGGGCTAGTTGGTGTCTGTTACATTTTCCAAGTCCTGCACTCATATATGGGATCCTCACTGTGGTCAGCGAATGCATCTTTCTGCATCACACATGGCAACATTTCGCCCAGGACAAATAAGGCACATTTTGTTTATGAACTTGCTCCATAGGGAAATGTCATTTTTATGGAGACATTTAAAAAAAAAAAAAAGAAGCTCTGCGGACTAGTGGTAGTGAGAACCCAAAATGTTTTACTCCATTGTAAAATGATGAACTTCCCCCCACCATCTGGCACGTGATTTTTTTTTTCCATATCGGTGTAACAAAGCACACATCAGCAGTTACTGCTGGCCAAGCTGACAATTCTGACTTTTTCTTTATAGATTGACTTGGTGAAGGCTCAACAGACTGTCCAGGGTGGGAAAGAAAGCCGAAGGTACACTTCCAGCACAGGGAAAGTTCTCTGGAACTGAAACTTACAGAAAAGTTGGTTCGACATCCCTCCCACTTCATCTCCTGGCTTTCACGTTCTCCTTGTAAAGGGATCCTAACTGCTCCTTCCCGTCCTCCAGTGTAAGGACTGGTTATATGTCACGCTCATGGCAGCTGCTCGCTGCCTTTCTGTATGAGAAGCACCAGTTTAGCAGCTGTTTTGTAGAGCAGAGAGAATTTTTTGTTCTTTAGCTTCACTTTTGGTTAAAGGGTGGCCTAGCTTCCTGCATTTTTTGGGTTGTACGGAATTGCTAAATGTGCAGGTGAGCAACACCCAAGAGTCAGTATTATTAACATAATACTTCTTCTTAGGGCTGGTCCACACTAACCCCCCAGTTCGAACTAAGATACGCAACGTCAGCTACGTGAATAACATAGTTGAAGTTGAAGTACCTTAGTTCGAACTACCAGGTACTTACCGCGGGTCCACACACGGCAGGCAGGTTCCCCCATCGACTCCGCGTACTCCTCTCACAGAGCAGGAGTACCGGCATCGACAGCGAGCACTTCCGGGATCGATTCATCTAGGGTTACCAGACGTCCGGTTTTTCCCGGACATGTCTGGCTTTTTGGTAATCAAACCCCTGTCTGGGGTGAATTGCCAAAAAGCCGAACATGTCCGGGAAAAATACCACGGGCTGGGCACTTCCCCTCCCGGGCTCCGGGGGCGCAGGGTCCAGAGGCATGGGGGCTGCCCGAAGCTGGTAGCGCTTGGGCAGCTCGGCTCTTAAACAGAGCCGAAGAGTCAGGGGAGGAGCACAGCAGCCAGAGCCCGGGAGGGGAAGTGCCCAGCCAGGGGCGCAGGGTCTGGAGGCATGGGGGCTGCCCGAAGCCAGAGCGCTACCGGCTTCACGGTTTGTTGGGCAGCCTCCAGACCCTGCGCCCCCAGCTGGGCGCTTCCCCTCCCGGGCTCCAGCTGCGCTGGGGAAGCACCGGCCAGGGGTGCAGGGTCTGGAGGCTGCCCGGCAAACCGTGAAGCCGGTAGCACTCGGGCAGCCCTTTTCGCGTGGCTGGGAGGGAGGAGGGGGCAGAGTTAGGGCGGGGAGTTGGGGCAGGGCCAGGGCCCCGTGGAGTGTCCTCTTTTATTTTTTAAATATGGTAACCCTAATTTATCGCGTCTAGACAAGATGCGATAAATCGATCCCAGAAGATTGATTGCTTACCGCCGAACCCGGAGGTAAGTATAGACGTACCCGTAGTATTATTAACACCTAGGATTTATCTCCAAAGGGCATTAACTAAGTACTAGGGCTAGGGTAGCTAGGGCATAGTTATTAACCTGTTTAACAGAAGGAGAAACAGAGACACAAAGTAGTGAAAATGATTTACCCAAGGCTACTTAGAGAGCTGTGGAATTATTTTCACAGATACTAAGGGGTTCGTTGGCTTTCATGTACATTGAAATGATCCTACCTGACTCCTAGATAGAAATTGGCAAGGCTGCGAAGAAAAGAGAAGACCTATCATATAGTTTACCACTGGGTGTCTCTCTTTACCTCATCACTGGAGGTAGAACTGAAAAATGTAAAGACAGCTCTGCAATCTGGCCTGTGGTGACCAGTGTGTGTTACCTAGCCCAGTGTGAATGGAGAAAGAGCTTTGCCTTTTCTTTTCTTGGTTCTTTTCACAATCAAGTATTTGCAAATTCATTTATTGAACAGAAAATTGACACTCCTCCTATACTTCTTACACAATGGATCAACTCCAGCTGCTTTGAGGAATGAATTCCCTTTCTCAGTGGGCCAACTCTAGGTCTGCTGTAAATGGATGCCATTCCAATGACTTCAGTGGAGATGCACCTTCTTACACCAGGTCTGAATGAAGTTCAGTGTGCAGTGACATCAAACCATGGGAAGGGGGGATATAAGGAAGTAGGGAATGATAAAACAAGGGCAGAGGGAGAAGTTCTTTTGGGATAGCTTGTGGTGTTTTTTTGGAGAGGGATGTTGGTTATCAACTGAATTGTCTTTATTTATTGCATTTTTTTTTTTTTACTGTTATAAGTCAGTGGCTCTCAAGCTTTCTAGACTTCCCTTTCAGGAGTCTTATTTGTCTTGCATACCCCCAAGTTTCACCTCACTTCAAAACTACTTGCTTACAAATAAGACATAAAAATACAAAAGCGTCACAGCACACTATCACTGAAAAATTGCTTACTTTCTCCTTTTTACCATATCATAAAATAAATCAATTGGAATATTAATATTGTACTTACATTTCAGTAGATAGAGCATAAATCATTGTCTGTTCGAAATTTTAATTTGCACTGACTTTGCTAGTGGTTTTTATGTAGCCTGTTATAAAACTAGGCAAATATCTAGATGAGTTGATGTAGCTCCTTAAAGACCTCTGTGTACCCCCAAGGGTACATGAACCACTGTGGTAAGTGACTTCTATCATAAGCAGGGGGCAAAGAGCAGCAAGTGCCTAGGTGTGGATTATTAGAAGTAATAATGTTAAGGACCACTTTGGCCACTGAGTTCATTGGGAGTAGAATCCAGACCTCTATAAGGGGAAATGAAGGAGGAAAGTGTGGTTGCTTGGCCAACAGGAACACAAAGAAAAATAAATGTGAAATATAATATGTGTGTATAAAACCAATAAGCATGGCTGCTGGTACAAGTGTGTGAGCAAGAATACATGTGTATAATCTGTGTGTGTGTTCAGTTATCATGACTGCATGGGAAAAGGACCAGTGTCTCACTGTCCCTTTGCGTGTTCAGTTACTGTGATTCTGCATGAAAACTGTATGTGCAAATTATGCACATGCACTTTAGAATGTGAATTTTTAAAACTCTAGGCCTCAGTAGCTGCAGGAATTTGGAATCCGCCTGCTTTGCAAAATGCAGAGCATTACTAACCTCCTGCAAACACCGTATGGGTGCCGATAGGAAAATAAGTCAAACAGTACAATAAAAGCTCATTGGTAAAACAAAGGTCAGTATGTGAGGGTCACTAGTGATAAATACAGTCTCTCCCCAGTCAAAACACAAGCCCAGAGTCTCAGGCTGTCCCTTAGTGCCATACCTACCAGCTCTCCCTTTTGTATAAACAGTGAGTGGATTTAAATGTAGTGGAATTAGTGATTACAAGTGTTGGGTTGGCATCAACCATCCCTCCTTCCATGCTCATTAACAGAGATAAAAATCTAGTTACAGCAGGAAATAATTACCATATATACTCGTTCATTAGCCCGTTCGTTTATAAGCCAACCCCCCAAAATGGATAGGTAAAAATAGCAAAAACTGTTTGACCCTTTCATAAGCCAACCCTATATTTCAGGGGTTGGAAAACTTTGGCTCCCGGCCCATCAGGGTAAGCTGCTGGCGGGTCAGGACATTTTGTTTACTTGGAGCGTCTACAGGCATGGAGCCCCTCAGCACCCTGTGGCCGCAGTTTGCCGTTCCCAGCCAATGGGAGCTGCGGGAAGCAGCGCTCCACTTCCCGCAGCTCCCATTGTCTGGGAATGGCGAACCGCGGCCACAGGGCGCTGAGGGGCTCCATGCCTACAGACGCTCCAGGTAAACAAAATGACAATGTATTAGGTATTCAATTAAATGATTCCATAGAGTTTTTAAAATCAATTTTTGGTGTAGACCCATTTAGAAACTGACCCCCGCTCTTTGATGCGTCACTTTTTTACCAAAAATATTCAGTTTATGAACAAGTATATATGGTAATATGGGAAAAAATGAAGGAAAGAAGCATCTGGGCCTTGGCTAATGCTGGCGCAGGAAGTGTTGATTATAGGTGTTTACAGGGGTGCTGGAACAATTTGTATAGCGGGGATGCTGAGAGCCACTGAACCAAACTGTAAACCCTGTATATAATGGAAACCACTTCAAGCCAGCACCCGGAGCACCTTACTTCCAGCACCTATGGGCATTTACATAATTAAGAAGATGCAAAGAGGTCGGGGTTTAAATCTTAATCACATTCAAAATACTGGAACTCTAAGCAAATCAGTATGTCACCACTAGCACAATAAACCTCAGTAAGAGACAGGCCCCTGTCCTATGAATACTGAGCGGCATGTTTATGATACTGAGCTGATAGGGGCTGCATTAAGGGAATTGAATAGAGTTAAACAGGCACAAATGTGAATTGAGTAAGGAAAAGCCTTCCCTTTGTTTCTCACTGTTAGAAACCTGTATCACTATAAGAGAAATGGCAGCTTTCTGCACTGGCCACCAAATAAACTCTCTCTTTTAAGATCTCACAGTGTTCTTGTATTTCACATAGTTGATTTTTGAGAGAGGGGTTTGTGGGGCTCCTGTGGCTACAGCAAGAGGCAGAGTATATTATTTGGTGACTTGGGCTCCTTTTAAGTAGTTGTAGTGTTTTGTGATTTGAGAATTTTAGTGTTGGGTCCTCAGCTTCTTTATCTGCTCATCCTTTGTCATCACGCATGGAATGTTACCTAAGTGATCAGGTTGTGTGTGTTAAAAACCCCCACCATTAAAGTCATGTTCACAGCTGATGAGCAGGCTCCCTTTTCTTTCTCTTTCCTTCTTGTTGTTAATTATGGGCCTGATACTACAGTTCTTACCCTCATGGCTAACTCACATAGGTGTGTAGCCATTGACGTCAATGGGAGCAGGAGCAGACCCAGGACAGTTATCCTGGGACTAGTCACAGCAGATTCGGGCCTTGTGTGCGTGGTCTGAAAATGTGAAATCTACCCCATTGGTTCCTGATTTCTACCTGTGTCAAAATGATCCCCAGTAACCCTGGAGCCTAGATAGAAAATCAGTTCAAATCAAAGCTACCCTATCAAAGGATGGGAAATTGAAACAGCAGCAGGCTAACAAAAGCAGCCCAACTAAAATGCAACCTGCTTTAGCCATGTGCATCTCTGCTGCTTTAGAG